ACCCCAGCCGCAAGCGATGATAAAATTCTCGCTTGCAACTTTTATCAGCTAGCTAAGACCAGGCCATTAAGGGTTTGAATGAGGTGCTGGGTGTACACTCACCACCGGAGTGGAAGAATGTCACTTACACACTCATTCACTCACACACTCATACACTCATTCACTCACTCATTCACTCACTCACTCATACACTCATTCACTCACTCATACACTTACACACTCACTCACATACTCACACACTCATACACTCACTCCCTTATACACTCACACACTCACACATTCATACACTCACTCCCTTATACACTCACACACTCACACATTCATACACTCACTCCCTTATACACTCACTCACACACTCACACACTCACTCATACACACTCACTCACACACTCACTCACTCACTCCCTTATACACTCACTCACACACTCACTCACACACTCACTCATACACACTCACTCACACACTCACTCACTCACTCACACACTCACGCACTCACACACTCATACACTCACTCGCTCACACACTCACTCATACACTCACTCAACAACAACCGCCATTCGCCACTAAGTGGCGGTGACGTCACCACGACGCTTGTGCCAGGTCATGTGCACCTTGAGGCCATGTGAAGTGTCGAACGCCCGCTGGCAGGAGGTCACGGGGCAGACCCAGGTGCCACGGGTCCGACTGACTGAGATGACCGAGATGACTGGCTCATGCACCACCTGTGCCCCCTACTGTGCCAACTGCTGTGCTTTAGCCACCCGGTGCTCCGCTCATTGTTGTGAGCGTCGCTCCTCCGCCCTCCGTTGTTGGAGGGCGACTGCCTCCAACTGCCCAGTAGCGTCCTTCACGAGCCTCCTCCACAGAGGCCGATCTTGATACCGTTGGTACCAGTCATCGGCAAGTCACTCAGCTCCACGTCCTCCTGTACCACATCACTCCATCTCTTCTCTAGCCGTGCCGCGCCCGTTTAGCCCCCTCGATCCGGCCCGAACAAAAGCTGTTTAGGCATGCGGTGGCTGGGCATGCGGGCTACATGACCCAGCCAACGCAGCCTTGCCTGCCGGAGGAGCTCACCGATGGGACTTTGCCCAGATCTTTCAAGGATTTGTGAGCTCCTCACACAATCCAACCTGTTTAATCCCAGGATGGATCGTAGGCAGGCCAGCCTAAATGTTTCCAACCGACGAAGATTCTCCATTAGGGGGTGTCCACGTTCGCAAACGTAGAGAAGGGAGGGAATGACCGTGGCCGAGAAGACCCGAAGCTTCGTGCGGAGCGACAGACAAGGTAGCTTCCACACAGCGTTACGCAACCGATGAAAAGATATTGCCGCTCGACTGATTCGGAGTGAGACCTCTGCTGTTAAACTGGAGCCGGTCATAAGCACACTGCCCAGGTATGGGCAACTCTCCACTCTCTCCACTACTGCCCCATCACACACACACTCACTCACTCCCTTATACACACACTCACACACTCAATCACACACACACTCACTCACTCCATCCCCTCCCTCTCCCACCTCCCCCTGTGGCCGTGTCAGGCACCTTCGTGATGAGGGTGGAGGCGAGTGACCTGGACGACCCCTTGACGCCCCACGGAGCTCTCCGCTACGACATCGTGGGCAGTCCCCCCCCATGGGGACCGCACAGCACAGCCTGTTCCACATCGACCGTCGCACGGGCATCATCACCACCCGCACTGTGGTCGGGCTGGACCGAGAGGTGGGTGTCACGTGTGTGTGTCTGTGTGTGTGTCTGTGTGTGTGTGTGTGTCTGTGTGAGTGTGTGTCTGTGTGTGTGAGTGTGTGAATGTCTCTGTGAGTGAGTGTCAGTGTGAGTGAGTGTCTGTGTGAGTGTGTGAATGAGTGTCTGTGTGTTTGTGTGAGTGTGTGAGTGAGTGTGTGAGTGTTTGTGTGAGTGTGTGAGTGAGTGTGTGAGTGTGTGTTTGTGTGTGTGTGAGTGTCTGTGTGTGTGTCTGTGTGTGTGTCTGTGTGTCTGTGTGTGTGTCTGTGTCTGTGTGTGTGTGTGTCTGTGTGTGTCTGTGTCTGTGTGTGTCTGTGTCTGTGTGTGTCTGTGTCTGTGTGTCTGTGTTGGTGTGTCTGTGTGTGTGAGTGTCTGTGTTGGTGTGTCTGTGTGTGTGTGTCTGTGTGTCTATGTGTGTCTGTGTTGATGTGTGTGTCTGTGTTGGTGTGTCTGTGTGTGTGTGTGTCTGTGTGTGTGTCTGTGTGTGTGTCTGTGTGTGTGTCTGTGTTGATGTGTGTGTTTGTGTCTGTGTGTGTGTCTCTCTGTGTGTCTGTGTGTGTGTGTCTGTGTGTGTGTGTCTGTGTGTGTGTCTGTGTGTGTGTCTGTGTGTCTATGTGTGTCTGTGTTGATGTCTCTATTGGTGTCTATGTGTGTCTGTGTGTGTGTCTGTGTGTGTGTGTGTCTGTGTTGATGTGTGTGTGTCTGTGTGTGTGTCTGTGTGTCTATGTGTGTCTGTGTTGATGTCTCTATTGGTGTCTATGTGTGTCTGTGTGTGTCTCTGTGTGTTGTATGTCTATGTGTGTGTTGTGTGTCTGTGCGTGTGTCTGTGTGTGTGTCTGTGTGTGTCTGTGTGTGTGTCTGTGCGTGTGTCTGTGTGTGTGTGTGCCGCTGTGTGTAGAGAGTGGCGCGCTTCTCGCTGGTGGTGATGGCTTCGGACATGGAGGGAGACGCCAGAATCAGTCTCTCAACCACGGCCACCGCCATCATCACCATCACCGACATCAATGACCACGCCCCCGAGTTCACGAGCAGAACCGTACGGCACGCCGCCACCACCACCACCACACACCACCCACACGCACACCGCCACCCAACCTCAACACTGCACCATAGACTCAACACTGCACCATAGACTCAACACTGCCCCATAGACTCAACACTGCCCCATAGACTCAACACTGCCGCATAGACTCAGCACTGCACCATAGACTCAACACTGCACCATAGACTCAACACTGCACCATAGACTCAACACTGCACCATAGACTCAACACTGCACCATAGACTCAACACTGCACCATAGACTCAACACTGCACCATAGACTCAACACTGCCCCATAGACTCAACACTGCCCCATAGACTCAGCACTGCACCATAGACTCAACACTGCACCATAGACTCAACACTGCCCCATAGACTCAACACTGCACCATAGACTCAACACTGCACCATAGACTCAACACTGCCCCATAGAATCAACACTGCACCATAGACTCAACACTGCACCATAGACTCAACACTGCCCCATAGACTCACACTGCCCATAGACTCAACACTGCACATAGTCTGTATACAACAACAACAACGATGTCCCGCCCCCCGCCCCCCTCCCTCGTCACCACCGCCGCCACCGCCCCAGTGGACGGGCACGGTGCGTGAGAACGCCGTGGGGGTGCCGGTGACGATGGCGCTTCTCTCGGTGATCGACGCGGACGAGGTCGGCACGGCGGCGTGGCGAGTCCGCTACTCACTCCGCGGGGGGGGGGCGGGGGGGGCGGCGTGGGGGGCGGGAGACCCCCAGGACCTGTTCGCCGTGGAGACCGACCCCGCTACCAACGATGGCAGGATCGTCGTTGTCAAGGTAACGCTTGGGAGGGAGGGGAGGGAGGGGAGGGAGGGGAGGGGGGGAGGGAGGGGAGGAGGGGAGGAGAGGGGAGGGAGGGAGGGGGGGGAGGGGGGGAGGGGAGGGAGGGAGGGGAGGGAGGGAGGGGGGGGTGGAAGGAGGGGTTGGAGTGAGGAAAGGGAGGTAGGGGAGGGGGGAGGAGGGAGGGGAGGAGGGGAGGAGAGGGGAGGGAGGGAGGGGGGGAGGGGGGGAGGGGAGGGAGGGGGGGAGGGGGGGGAGGGGGGAGGGGAGGGAGGGAGGGGAGGGAGGGGGGGGTGGAAGGAGGGGTTGGAGTGAGGAAAGGGAGGTAGGGGAGGGGGGAGGATGGAGGGGAGGGAGGGGAGGAGGGGAGGAGAGGGGAGGGAGGGGGTGAAAGGAGGGAGGGAGGGGAGGGAGGGGGGGGTGGAAGGAGGGGTTGGAGTGAGGAAAGGGAGGGAGGGGAGGGGGGAGTAGAGGGAGGAGGAGGTATTTTTTGCACAGACGTCCAGTGGGGGGTGGGGGGGTGGGGGGGGTCACGGGGTCAGAACGTCGCCAGCACTGGGGAGACAAAGGCGGCCGGGCGTGCTGCTGGCTTCCCACCCCCTCGTGTGCCACAGCGCCGGCCTTGCCCCTACAGTCTGCTAAACTATACGGGGATCTTTGTCTTTGTATGTTCGTGTGTCCGTGTGTGTGTCCGTGTGTGTGCGCGCGTGTGTGCGCGTGTGTGTACGTGTTTGTGTGTACGCGTGTATGTGTGTACGTGTGTGTGTACGTGTTTACGTGTGTGTGTGTGTACGTGTGTGTGTGTGTACGTGTGTGCGTGTACGTGTGTGTGTGCGTGTGTGCGTGTGTGTGTACGTGTGTATGTACGTGTGTACGTGTGTGTGTGTGCGTGTGTGTACGTGTGTGTGTGTACGTGTGTGTGTACGTGTGTGTGTGTGTGTGTTGGTACGTGTGTGTCTGTATGTGTGTGTGTACGTGTACGTGTGTGTACGTGTGTGTGCGTGTGCGTGTGTGTACGTGTCTGTGTACGTGTGTGTGTACGTGTGTGTATACGTGTGTGTGTGTGTGTACGTGTGTGTATACGTGTGTGTGTGTGTGTACGTGTGTGTGTACGTGTACGTGTGTACGTGTGTGTACGTGTGTGTCTGTGTACGTGTGTGTGTACGTGTGTACGTGTGTGTACGTGTTTGTACGTGTGTGTGTACGTGTGTATACGTGTGTGTGTGTCTGTGTGTACGTGTGTGTGTGTGTACGTGTGTACGTGTGTGTACGTGTGTGTACGTGTGTTTGTGTGTACGTGTGTGTACGTGTGTGTGTACGTGTGTGTGTACGTGTGTGTGTGTACGTGTGTACGTGTACGTGTGTGTACGTGTGTACCTGTGTGTACGTGTGTGTGTGTGTGTACGTGTGTATACGTGTGTATGTACGTGTGTGCGTGTGTGTGTGTACGTGTGTGCATGTGTGTGCGTGTGTGTGTGTGCGTGTACGTGTGTACGTGTGTGTGTGTACGTGTGTGTGTGTGTGTGCGTGTGTGTGTGTACGTGTGTGTGTCTGTGTGTGTGTCTGTGTGTGTCTGTGTTGGTGTGTGTACGTGTGTGTGTGTGTGTACGTGTGTGTGTGTGTACGTGTGTGTGTCTGTGTGTGTGTCTGTGTGTGTCTGTGTTGGTGTGTGTACGTGTGTGTGTGTGTGTACGTGTGTGTGTGTGTACGTGTGTGTGTGTGTGTATGTGTGTACGTGTGTACGTGTGTGTGTACGTGTGTGTACGTGTGTACGTGTGTATACGTGTGTGTACGTGTGTATACGTGTGTGTACGTGTGTACGTGTGTGTACGTGTGTGTATGCCGCAGCCCTTAGACTTTGAGATGGCGTCGTCGTACAAACTCATCGTCGTCGTGGACAACGAGGAGCCGCTCGGTGAAATCCGCGTGGACCCCTCCCCAGAGTACCGCCACCGTTCACGGTGAGTCACCCCCACGCACCCCCCCCCCCACGGCCCCCCCCCCACGGCCCCCCACGGCCCCCCCCCCACGGCCCCCCCATGGCCCCCCCACGGCCCCCCCCCACGCCCCCCCCCCCCACGGCCCCCCAAAAGCTTCACAGCTGCTCGGATTCTCCCGCCACGAACAAAGATTCCCGCGGAAAAGCCGCCACCCCCGCGTCTCTCCCCGCATCTCTCCCCGTGTCTCTCCCCACGTGCTCTCCCCGTGTCTCTCCCCACGTGTCTCTCCCCGTGTCTCTCCCCGTGTCTCTCCCCGCGTGTCTCTCCCCGTGTCTCTCCCCACGTGTCTCTCACCGTGTGTCTCTCCACGTGTGTCTCTCCCCGTGTCTCTCCCCACGTGTCTCTCCCCGTGTCTCTCCCCACGTGTCTCTCCCCGTGTCTCTCCGCGGCGCCAGGTGAGTGTTGAGGATGAGAACGAGGCTCCGCTGTTTGAGCCGCGGCTGCAGCAGGTGCGGCTGTCCGAGGGCGTCGCTCTGGGCAGCGTCGTCACCACGCTGGTGGCACGGGACCCGGACTCCGCACAGAAGCAGAGCCTGCGGTGAGCACACACACCCCCCGCCCCGCCAAGCGGATAACAACCACAACAACAACCGCAACAACAACCGCAACAATCAAACAACTGTAGGGGTGTTAGAGAGAGCCCGTTATGCATGGGAGCTTATGGCAAACAAACACAGTGGGCGGGGCTACATGAGTGCATGGGAAGGTGCTCTCTACGACGTCCGCGTCAGGCACCCTGGGGGGCTGACTCGGAGTTATGATCCCCTGGGGCCCCACCCCTCAGCGAGGGGGTTGGGTATAAAAGGGGATGTGTCGGAGGGCTAAGGGGGAGAATGTTAAGCTAACCAGTGAAGACTGAAGACGTCTTAGATAGAGCCCTGGACTCCCCTGGTTCGCCGTCCTTATCAGGGCCGAACAGGACCGAGCCAGCGGCGTGGTCCCGAGAGCCAGAGCCGGTGCTCTTGTAAGAGCTGGTCTGGGACTCCGGGTACCGGGCCCGACTTACCAGTGTCGGGCCAGCTAGCCTCCCCTAGCCCGTTAGTGGAGGACTAGGAGGCAGGCTAGGAGTAGCTAGGACGTGTATCCTCAGATAGTCGGGTGAAGGGGCCGATACCCCCTCTAGTGTTGTATGCCACGAACGTGCTGTGTTAAATAAACCCGTGTGCCTCCAACTCCGGCGTCCAAGAGTCGTGAACGCTACTACATCTGGTGTCGGAAGTGAAACAACTACGAACATGGACACGCGCCGGACGACTCGAGTCAGGGTACCAGAGGCGGAGGACGCCGCTGCAGTCGGGGAGCCCGAGACGGCTGAAGATGGCATCGAGCAGCCGGGGCCGGATGCATCCACACCGCAGCAGCCGGAGGATGGGGAGCCGTCGACAGAGGGGCTGAGGCAGGCGCACGCGAAGCTGGCGGAGCTGCTGTACGCCGCTGCCACCATGCTGGACCACATCACACAGCTGGGGGCTGCTGGACCGCTACGGGGCGACGACAGCCGACGACCACAGCGCCTTCCCGCCATTTCGACGGAGCACCACTTTGAAATTCCCGCCATCGCCGCAGCTGCTGCTGAGGGTGTGGCTGGCCTGAGCCTCGCGTCCAACGGCGGCCGTACAGTAGCTGCCACGTCATCTCCAACGGACGGAGCGTCACCACGGGTGCGACCGGCGATGCCATCGGTCGTTCGCGCCGAAGCAGAGCCGGGTGAGGGGGACGAGGGAGAGCGACCTTCCACCGCGGCTGCTGCGTTACATCAGCGGCTACCTCCACTCAAAGAGTTTGTGGGCGAGGACGGCGACTGGGGCGGCTTCCAGCGGCGCTTCCTCGCTCACCAGGAAATGGCGCGGTGGACGGATGACGAGGCTCTCCGCGCGCTGCCGGCACTGCTCGACGGCGACGCTCTCGCCACCCTAACATCGGTGCCAAAGGAGAAGCGCTCCACACTGCAGACGGCACTGCATCTGCTGGCTGCAGTCTACGGGCCACCGTTGGACTGTAGGCAACTCTTTTACGATCGCCAGCGGGGGGCAAAGGAGTCGCCCTTGGCATACCGCACAAGTCTCCTGGCACTGGCAAAGGCGGCCTTCCCACGGATGGACAACGAAGGCGTCGACGCTATGGTTACGGAGAAGATACTCCTGCTGGCAGACGACTTAGATATCGTCATCGTGGCACAGGACGACGCAGAAATGTGTTCCCTCCAAGCTGCACGACTCCTCCACGCAAACCTGCTCTCGCAACGACGGAAGGCAAGCAAGGCGGCGAGCGGGCGTGCCGTGGCTGCAGTCACCCTCCCGGCGGAAGAGATCTGCGCCATCGACCGTCAACGGCAGCAGGGAGCGGGAGCACGGGCGGACCGGGACGGATCGAGCCACCTCGACCGTCCATCGTCATCGCCAGCGCTCCCGCGCTGTTACAACTGCGGTATCCGGGGCCATGTCGCCTCGGGGTGCCGCTCTCCTCGGCAGCGCGGGACGACACCTCGACGGAACGCCGGCCCTCTTCTCAAGCTCCATCATCATAACCCGGCGAGTCGCGGCACCCCTCATGTTTGGGCCACGCACACACCCGTCACACACTCGCACACCGTAGCGAACGGGGGGGCCGACTTTGCACACCATCGCACCAACACGCACCACTGTGGGGACTCATATCGAACCCAGCCAGTAGTCCGTGTTGGCCCATCGCGTTGTAGCCACATCGTCGGGGTCGTCAGCCGTTGTGGGGCACATTGACGGGGTTGAGGTGCGCATCCTGGTCGATACGGGAGCATCGGCGACCATCATTTCGGAATTAATTTACAATATTCTCCCTGTCCAGAGCCGTCCTTTGATGCCCGTTAACGTGCCATTCTATGCTGCTAACGGGGGCTCACTTGGCATCATTGGACAAATTCGAGCGCAAATTTGTATCGGTGATATTAAATTGTCTGGGCCGATTTTTGTCTCCTCCTCGCTGGCGGTTCCGTGCCTGCTGGGGACGGACTTCCTGGCCAAAATGCCGATTAGGATATTAATCGACCAGGGCTGCATTGAGCTCCCGTCGGGCCGACGCATGGCGTTTCTGCCGTCCCCCGTTGCGAGTCGGACGGCGTTCGCGATGGTGCCGGCGTTCGTAGATAGAACGGTGCGCGTACCGCCGGGGGCACAAATGTTGATACCTCTAAAACTTCGGCGGCCCTTCGCTAAGGGCATTGGGGCCTAGGGGGTTCTGCTGGGGCCGTCTAGGGCCGGGGTTAGCGGACCTCATTTAGTTCTGGCACAGACCATCGTTAGAGGGGACGGGGATCCCTTCATCGCGGTCCTCAATGTGGGGTCGCAGACGGTGGTGGTCCCACAGGGGACCGTGCTTGCTCACGCAACGCCGGTGCCCTGTGAGGAACCCGTCGCGAACCACGCAAGCGCTGTCCCTACGCCGCGACCACATTCGGACAGCGATGAAGGGTGGCTCGAGGCGCTTTGTGCGGGATCGACGGACCTGTCAAATTTAGAGCGTCAACAACTTAAAACACTACTGTGTGAATTTTCTGACGTTTTCAGTCGGAACAAATACGATTTGGGCTGCACTCATCTGCTGCGTCACCATATTGATACAGGTGACAGCGCGCCAATACGCCAGAATCCTTTTCGGTTAAGTCCCGCCGAAAAGGACCATGTCAAATCGGCTGTGGATGACATGTTAGCCGCCGACATCATTTCTCCTTCCACCAGCCCTTGGGGAGCGCCGATCGTCCTAGTTAAGAAACAGGACGGTTCGTTGCGGTTTTGCGTCGATTTTCGTCGCCTTAACAAAATTTCGGTTGCCGACGCATACCCGCTCCCACGGATGGACGAATCGCTTGACGCCTTGGCGGGAGCGCGATTCTTCTCCACGTTGGATTTACTTTCGGGATTCTGGCAGCTTCCTCTGGACGATGATTCAAAGCCTAAAACTGCATTCCGTACACCGCACGGCCTGTTCCAATTCAACCGGTTGCCGATGGGACTCCACTCAGCGCTGGCAACTTTCCAGCGATTGATGGAATTGGTTTTGGCTGGATTGCAATGGGACTCGTGCTTGATTTATTTGGATGACGTTATCATCTTTAGTAAAACATTTGACGAACATCTCCAGAGGTTGCGGGTGGTTTTTCTCAAAATGCGGGCTGCTAATTTGAAATTTAAACCCCAAAAATGTCATCTGTTACGCGAATCTGTGCGTTATTTGGGACACATCGTGGGGCGCTCAGGTATTGCTACCGATCCCGCCAAAACGCAGTGTGTCAGCTCCTGGCCGACTCCCACCTCGGTGGGAGAGGTCAGGAGTTTCATTGGATTTGCGTCATATTACCGACGGTTTGTCGCGGATTTTGCGACAATTGCGAAACCCCTACACACGTTGACGTCCAAAGGGGTTCGGTTCCATTGGGGACAGGAGGAGGAGGCTGCTTTCCGCTCCCTTCGGGACGCTCTGGTTAAAGCTCCTCCCTTGGTTTACCCCGATTTTTCAAAACCCTTTTTGCTCGACACCGATGCGAGCAATACGGGTATTGGGGGCGTGCTTTCCCAGGTGGTTGACGGCGTGGAACGGGTGGTCGCGTACGGTAGTCGGGTGTTGTCTCCAGCGGAGCAAAGATATTGTGTCACCCGTCGGGAACTGTTGGCAATTGTCTACTTCATCCAACAGTATCGCCCATATCTGTACGGTCGGCATTTCACCGTCCGCACAGATCATGCGGCGCTACAGTACGCCCTGCGAGTTCAACAACCATCGGGACAATTGTCTCGATGGTTGGAGATTCTCCAGGACTTTGATTTTGAAACCACCTACCGTAAGGGCGTTCGCCATACCAATGCGGACGCCCTGTCGCGCATGCCAACCACCTCCGAATGTGCATGCCTCCTGGGGTCGGGACGTTGCAGGCCTCCGGGGGACATATCTGTTCCGGTCTTGGCGGCCGCCGACGACGCAACATTGCTTACAAATTCGATAGCACAACAGGGAAGAGATTCCCTGTTGGGGTTGCCCGTCACTGAATGGGGGCGCCTCCAGATGGAGGATACCTCCCTCCTCGCGTTGCGTCGTCGCGTCGGCGGTGCTGGGCGGGGGAGGGGTGATGCCGACTCATGGGAAATGGTCCAAGGCCTGCTGATGCATTGGGACAGGAGATCCCATCGACACCGGCTGGTGGTCCCTTCTGGGTTGCGGGGCAAGGTGGTGTGGGCCGCTCATGAGCGCCTCCTCCACCTGGGGACCCAAAAGACCCTCGCCTTGCTCCAACTTGATTTTTTTTGGCCAGGCATGACGAGGGATGTCGGCGATTTGTTGGGGTCATGCCCTCGATGTGCGCAACGGAAACCGCCAGCACGGGAGTCTAACCCACCTTTGCAATCGATCAAAGTGTCCAGAGTAAACGAGCTTGTCGCGCTGGATATTTTGGGCCCATTCCCCGCCACCCCCAGGGGCAATAGATATTTGTTGACCGGTGTGGAGTATTTTACGCGCTGGCCTATGGCCTGGCCCCTTGCCAACCAGTCGGCAGCAGCCATTGTGGAG